GGCTGAGTCAACCCTGAGCCGGTGGGATTTGAACCGCTGAACTGCTGATCTAGCAGTAGCCTGCAGTGCTGCATTTAACCACTGCGCCACCTTGGCTCTACCTTTGGTGGGGAGGTAACAGCGTTCTGTACACCTTCGGCATTGAGTCATGCCAGCCACTGGACCACGGAGACGTCTTCGGACAGCGCTGGCTCTTCGGCTTTGAAACGGAGATGAGCACCGCCCTCTAGAGTTGGGAACGACTAGCACATATGTGGAAGGGGAACCTTTACCTTTAAGCCGCTTAGAGTCACCTCAAACAGCGAAGTGGGAGGCATATAAATTTAATAAATAAATAGATTTAATAACAAAATAAAAGTTACCTTCTTTCCCTGTTTTGCCTCTTTATGACAACACCTGGTTCTCCTTTAAGCAACCAGCTCTGACTCCATGATAGCACAAAGGGGGAAATGGGGGGGAGGAGAGGAATCCAGAGATTCTGGATTTCAGCTTGCACTTTGCAAACTTGTGCTGCTTGCATAAATTGGGTCCTGGTTTACTCTCTGTCCATTCTTTACTTTTATTTTTTTTTATTTTACTTTTATATCCTTTACTTTACTTTGCAATTTCGTTGTATTTATTTTGTACAGTGACAATGAAGACTACACTACTATTATGACCGTTTGTGGCCAATCTCTCTTCCACCCTAGAACATCCTGTTGCCTCTCCTCCATCGAACAGCTTTTGCAGCCTTCTTCTCCTCAACTCCGAACTTCTTTGGAGTCTTGACAAAACAAACAGCGGAGTTATCATTAACGCACACAAACACAAAACCCTCAGAATCAAAGGACGCAGTTGACCTGAATTAGCCAGAGGCCCTCTGGAAAATATGTACTGTTTCTGCGGCCAGGATGTACTGTACATATAGAAATGTTACACCAGAGATAGTCAAGGGACAACCCCACAGTTGGAGAGTGAGAGATCAAGGGCTAGAGAAGATGACGCCGAAGTGAGAAATAGATAGGGCCAGAGGTGGAATTCAGCCGGTTCGGGCGAATCGGATGCTAATTTTGCTTCTGGTTCACCGAACTAGTTCTTTCAAGGACTGGCTGGCCCCACCCATCCCACCACTTCCAGGAGTCTCCACGTGGCCCATTCATCATGGCAGATAAGTACAGAGCATGCATGAAGGCTCCGGGAGGGCGAAAAACAGGCCTACCGTAAGTTCTGGAAGTCCGGAAACAGGACCATTTCCAGCTTCTGGAAGGTCTCCAGAATCCGGGGAAGGCTGTTTTTGCCCTCTTGAAGGCTCTAGGAAAGCCTCTGGAATCTGGGGAGGGTAAAAATGCCCCCACTACCACTATGAGGAGGCCATGCCTCGCTCACCCAGCAACTGGACAGAGAACCACTTGCTAAAATTTTTCAATCCCACCCCTGGATAGAGCAGTTATATTTGGTGGGGTTGGGACATTGCATTTTGCCCTAAGTTTATTTGGGGGGCTTATGTGGTTCCTTGTTTCTTTTTTTTTAAGATAAAAAGTTAAAGCCTTTCACTAGTTGTCTTGTCCAAAAAGATGAGACATCAAGACTTCTGGCAGCTGTTCTCAATGCTCTCGATATTGTACACTAGATGGTGCTATCGGAATGCGAGTAGCACCCAAAGAAAAACATGAAAAACTGTGTGATTCATAGACTGCCCTAGCATGATCTATTTATCCAGGCCACAGTATCAGCGATGTTATTCTTTTCATTAAATAAGAATGGAGATTAAATCCTTACCTAACCGTTCCCTGGAATTTATGCTTCCTTGAAATAAGCCGAGGTGGTGCAGTGGTTAAATGCAGCACTGCAGGCNTCTTTAAAAGTAAAGGTTCCCCTCGCACATATGTGCTAGTCGTTACCAACTCTAGGGGGTGGTGCTCATCTCCATTGCAAAGCCGAAGAGCCAGCGCTGTCTGAAGATGTCTCCGTGGTCATGTGGCCGGCATGACTAAATACCAAAGGTGCACGGAATGCTGTGACCTTCCCACCAAAGGTGGTTCCTATTTTTCTACTTGCATTTTTTACGTGCTTTCGAACTGCTAGGTTGGCAGAAGCTGGGACAAGTAATGGGAGTTCAGTCCGTTAAATGGCGCTAGGGATTCAAACCACCGAACTGCCGATCTTTCTGATCGACAAGCTCAGCATCCCTTATGGATGGTCTTTACCCTCTCCAAAAATATTACTTGTTTTCTCTCCCCACAAAAACATTGTCCCTTCTGTTAAATAGAAATGTCCATAAAACATCTCATACTCACTTTCCTTAATATTTTTGACGTCCTGGTTTCCAAAAATCCATCTAATTGTTGGTGGTGGTATTCCTTTCACCAGGCAGCTGAATTCTACCTTTTGCCCCTCGTGAACTTCCTTCACAAGATCCATTGTCTTCACGAAGGTAGGTCTCTCTGTGATCAAAGCCAGAGATTAGAAAACAAAAAGAAGTGAAAGAATTACTAGGGATATTTGCCTCAATAAGGTTCTTCACCTTAAGGTAGTCCATCATTTTGGGATGCAAGAAAAGACCATTCAACCGCTATGAACTGAATTTTGAAAGTGTTCCTTAATGTTCTGTGGGACACCTAGACTTCAGTAATTGTTCAAAAAGTGAATGAGTGTCTTTTCTGAACAGTGAGAATGAAAGCTTGGAAGTAAACAGGAAACTAAACTTCCTTGAATAGATAAGAAACCATTAAAGAGACTTTCTTTCTTACTAGGGAAAAAAAGTCAAGACTATTTACATTAGTCACATGATATGAGCCATGGTGACACAGTGGTTAGAAGGCAGTACTGCAGGCTACTTCTGCTGACTGCAGCTGCCCGCAATTTGGCAGTTCGAATCTCACTGGGCTCAAGGTTGACTCAGCCTTCCATCCTTCCGAAGGTGGTAAAAGGAGGTCCCAGATTGTTATTGAGGGCAATAGGTTGACTCTGTAAGCCACTTAGAGAGGGATGTAAAGCACTGTGAAGCTGTCTGCCGTTGCTATTACAGCAATCATCTTGATTGTTTTCAACCCCACCTCCGATGGGAGCCCTAGTGTTCGCAGAACATTCTGAATCAAATTAATGTATTTCATTTAATTGCATTACTGTCATGAGACAAGTAATATTAAAGATGCACACATTCAGTTTATTTGTTTGATACATTACCTGACTCAAACAATTCTTAAAAGGGAGGAAATGAAATAAAAACATAAGTGAATTCAAAATGAAGATGAAAGTGTTGGGAAAACCCACTAACTATATTTACCACTGAGAAATCTGTAGCCTTTGAAAGTAACACAAAACTTAATAACTTTATATAAGTGATGGATTTTTTTTCCTATAGACTAAAACAGTAAATACAGAAAAGTTGGCAGCGGATGCCAACAATTTAGCTAGGAAGAGGACAGTGGGTGTGGTCCACGCTTGCTGTAGGAAAAGAAATATAGAAAGAGGTGAGTTTAACATTCTCCTTCAATCTCCTTNTTTTGTACTCCTTTTTTCAACACTCTGTCCATAACGATGGGTTGGTAGTTCATTCAGACTGAACTCTGCCCACTGCCAGGAGTTCAATTCTGACCAGCTCATGGTTGACTCAGCCTTCCATCCTTCTGAAGTGAGTCAAATGAGGACCCAGATTGTTGGGGGCAACCGGCTGACTCTGTAAACTGCTTAGAGAGGGCTGTAAAAGCACTTGGAAGCGATATATAAGTCTAAGTGCTATTGCTAGTCTCTCCCACTAAGTTCGCCATTCTTTTCTGGATGGCATTAAGAACTGTGCTGTTTACAAGGCAATATCTAAGGCATGGGTGTCAAACTCAAGGCCTGGGGCTTAGATCCAGCCCACGGGGTGCTTAGATCTCTCAGCAGGGCCATTTTAGAAACTGCAAAGGATGGGCTCACAACGTGTCTGCCAGTGAAAATGGAGGTCAGGAGGGCTAGGCTCTGTTTTAAGCTGCAATGGCCTCCTGCCACCCTCCGCCAGTGAAAATGAAGCTCGGGGGCTGCATGTTCCCCCCCCCTTCCAAGCTCAGTTTTCACTGGCAGAGGGCAGCAGGAAGCCATTGCAGTTGAAAACAGAGCTCGGGAGCCTGTTTTCACTGGCAAAGCAATCGGGCCACCACAGACGCCTCTGACACAAGTGACATGAAGCTGGCCATGCCCACTCCAGCCATGCCCACCCTGGCCCCCAAGGACAAACGCAACCTGAATGAAATTGAGTTTGACACCTCTGGTTTAAGGTCTCGTTCCACCATTCCATTCCATAACTCAGCAGCTAAAAATAGTACTTCTCAATATCTCCCCGTTTCCTGCTCTGATGCATGGCGTCCTCAGTTACCCCAAAGCATCCGTGAAGGACAGAGGCCCTAGAAGTGGGTGAGGTCTGGGAAAAAGAAAACAAAGCTCAACATGATGTAAATTATTTAAACTTTCATATCCCCCCTGGAAGGAGACAAGGTGTCGCAATCTGGGGAGAGGGAACTTCACAGTACGCAAAGGGCAGCTGGATAAAACTGGGGCCGGATCCTTGGGATTGGAAGAAAGAGTTATGTCTAGCAGCTAGAACAGGTGAACTGTGAGTCATGAAAGGACCTTTTATTTCTGACTCTGGCGCCACAGAGGAGCATGGCAAATGTTCGCTAACATTTAGCTAAGACAGATTTACTCCACCTTTGGCTGGAAGCCAGCACTCCATTGTGCAATTTCCTAGCTACCAAGAATCAGTTGCAATTGCTCAGCTCGTGAATTCTGCCAATGCTGATGCATTTGAATAGTACTACCACTTGTGAAACTCCAGTGCAGTGTTTCTCAAACTTGGAAACTTTAAGATTTGTGGACTTCAATTCCCAAAATTCCCGACTGGCTGGGGAATTCTAGAAATTAAAGTCCATACATCTTAAATTTGCTAAGGCGGAGAAACACTGCTAGAATGGAATGGAATGGAATGGAATGGAATGGAATGGAATGGAATGNAGAATAGAATAGAATAGAACAACTATTGTCACTTTGAATGTACACTAATTGGCATATATTAAAAATGAAATTTCATTCCATATAGCTCTTAAAGGGTCACCACCTCCAATTTTACACTACATGAACATGACAGGATAAATAAATAAATACAAAATTATGTATATATCCACATATATCATATAGAGACAGAGAAACAACGCCGCCTACTTTGGATGTATGCATGGACATGGTGAGAAAAACGGATCGTGTGAGTTTGCCACACAGATGGCCTGGGGAACAAAGCTGTTACAGAACCTGGTAAAAATCCTGCTGAACTATCCGTTTGTTTCATTCGGAAAAGCCCAACTACCCAGCATGGTTGGAAAAACCAGATTTCAGCATAAAGCAGGTTTATTCCACAAAACATGGTTAAGGCAAACCATGAATTGACAATATAGGCCTCTAACCAAGCTGGTTTATCATGAGTTGTCTATGGTGTTGGCAGCTGTAGTTACATTCTAATTACAACTCCCTTTGCAGTTGTTCCCTTTATAACTTTGGCTAAATCACGTAGCAAACATTCTGTTAAGAACATTGCTGTCTCTCCTTGTAAAACAATCGGTCTGTTTTATAGATGGAGGATTGTCTGCTAGGATACGCTGAAGATTCAAGTAAGCCAAGGAGTACCACAGGATGGGGAAAACAAGCCCTGTCCTACTCACTGGAAGACACGTAGGATGATTCCTTATGAAATCCTCAGGGAATGCAAATGACTAGAGCCAATCACTTGGAAAACAATGGATGTTTATTGTGGTGCGAAGATCCTGACTCATCTCTCCCAGGTGGAGGGGTGGGGTCTCCCTCAGTCGCTCGCTCGCTTGCTCTGATATGGAAGCCAGGTCAGGCTGGAAAACCATTATCTGCATCTCTGTGGATGGTAAACATTGAACAGAGGACAACAAAGATAAATAAAGCATCCAGCACACAATGGATTTTGTCCAGAGACAGAAACATCCTGTTGTATTTTATCCCCTATTGTCTCATCTCACAAACCCCACCCCAATGCAAAGGGACAATGTAACATGGATTTTCAGTGACGCAAGGGACAACATTAACTTGTAAATAAACTTGCTGTCCAATAACCACGTTGGAAACCAGAAGTCTTGCCTTTCAGACCCCCCTAAATTAGTCTGATGTCTTTGCTCCCCAAAACCATGAAGCATCAAGGTAAAGGTTCCCTCACACATATGTGCCAGTCGTTCCCGACTCTAGGGGGTGGTGCTCATCTCCGTTTCAAAGCCAAAGATCTGGCGCTGTCAGAAGACTTCTCCAGGGTCATGTGGCCAGCATGACTAAACACCGAAGGCGCACAGAATGCTGTTCCCTTCCCACCAAAGGTGGTCCCTGTTTTTCTACTTGCATTTTTTACGTGCTTTCGAACTGCTAGGTTGGCAGAAGCTGGGACAAGTTTAAAGTTTAAAGTTTTAAAGTTTAATAACACTTGTATGCCGTCCAATCCCGTAGGACTCCGGGCGGCTCACAATACAAATAAATAAAAAAAGCATAGAAAAAAAAAAGAACAGATAGACTTAAAAACACACCATGCACTCCATTCCAAGTGGGGCTGGACCATATTTTGGGGTCAACAGCCCCAGGCCTGCCNCAATATGCTGACTCTGTAAACCGCTTAGAGAGGGCTGAAAGCCCTATGAAGCGGTACATAAGTCCAACTGCTATTGCTATTGCTATGTTTGCCATGCCCTCCTTTCTTCTGCAGGCTCAACTGCCTTTTATCTGACCACTGCCTAGTAAACACCTTATCTACGAGAAAATATGGTAGTCATTTGTACATCTTCACATAAGCTACCTTAACGTTCACAGAGAAAAGCCAATCTGTCAAAGCAATACACAACTCAATGTATTGCAGTACAATGCAGGGCTATGCACTCCAATATAATGCATTTTATAACATTGCATAACATCAATATATAATTAGGATGATTTCCCCAAAAAATCCTGGGACTGTAGTTTAGTCCCAAAGTTGTTCATAATTCTTTAGAAACACTGTGATGTTCTCACAGAATTACAGTTGATAGCGTTCCTGGTGAGGACAGAAGGAAAATTACGTTGATTTTACATTTGTTAAATAATTATCCTGAATCCAGTCCAACTGTTCAAGAGTAAATATTGATCCTTCACCTTTTTCAAAGGGAACTCTCTTCTCAGTGCTGTCCACTTCATTAGCAGCAGTTATAACGAGTTCCTGGATGTCCTCTTGTGATGATGGTGTAACCTAACGCCAAAATAAATTTTAAAAATTAATCTCCCTTCTTAAATCCACCCAAACTGCTACTAGAAAAATTCTTCACCAAATTCAGAGAGGCCAATTTAGGAATTTGAATACAACAGAGATAGGGAACTTTCTGCCCAAAAGTCAAACCTTTCAAAAGCAAACTTCTTTGTGGTTACAGACCAGAACTAAATCTGTCCTTTGCCACGTGTTATAGTAGGTCTCATATCTGGTCCCCCACCCTCCAAACATCTTCCTTTCTCAGCACTTTAAGATGTTGCCTACCAAGAGGTAGAGCAGAAGAAGCAAGTTCCCATTAACCATAGCTTCATATGGTGCCATATGTCTTGGAGGGAAGGTGACATTGGTTCTCTAACAATCACTGCTTTCTCACTTTCACCATCATCTCTTATAGGTGCTCTGCTCTGTCTTCACTGATTCTTTAGAGAGAGGTTCTGGTGAACCTCCTGAGTTTTCACTTTACACTTATAGAATACACCCTTCTCTGTAGATTTTAAGAGGCTGATGTTGTGAGAGCCGAGGTGGCGCAGTGGTTAAATGCAGCACTGCAGGCTACTTCAGCTGACTGCAGTTCTGCAGTTCGGCTGTTCAAATCTTACCGGCTCANTTACTCTTTTCACCATTGAATTTCATTTTATTAGATAGTGTCCAATGTTCAAGTTTGTCAAGATCCTTCTGTATCTTAAGCCTGTCTTCTGGAGTCCACTACACCTTCCTGCTTTGGGCTGAGAGAGAGCGACTTACCCCAAAGTCTGGCTTTAATGTCTGAGGCAGGGCTTGAACTCACAGCCTCCAGGTTTCTAGCCTGGTGCCTTAACTACTAGACCAAACTGGCCTTTGGATGACGGAAGAGGAGGGACAGGTCACATAAGGACCTCTGAGATTTTGGAACACTGCTATCATGTTTAACCCTAGTCCTTCTTTTCATTAACCTAGACACACCCAGTTCCTGCAACTGTTCTTCATGTTTTAGCCTCCAGACCTCTAATCATTTTTGTTGCTCTTCTCTGGACTCTTTCTAGAGCCATAATGGTGAACCTATGGCATATGTGCCACAGGTGGCACACAGAGCCCTCTCTGTGGACACACAAGCAGTCGCCTCAGCTCAGCCCCACCACGCATGTGCATGAGCCTCCCATCAGCCAGCTGATTTTGGGGTCTCTGCCATGTATGTGCAGGATGCATGTGGGAGATGCGCACACATGCACGTGGGGTCATTTTTGGCCCCAGAAGGCTGCAGGGAGGCCTAATAGGCCCAAAACAAGTGTGGGGTGCTCATGTGCACATGCGTGGGGCACGCAGGGGGTTGCACGTGCATTGCATTATGGGTGTGGACCAGTGGTGGGTTTCAAAAAATTTTAGAACCTATTCTGTAGGTGTGGCCTGTTTTGTGGGAGTGGCTTGGCAGTCATGTGACTGGGTGGGAGTGGCTTGTGACCATGTGACTGGGTGGGCGTGGGCAACTTGGAAAAATGTGGTAAAACTCACTTACCAACGCTCTTGCTTAGCAACCAAAATTTTGGGCTCAATTGTGGCCATAAGTTCCCCTTCTTCCTTCTCTTTGAGAAGCGCTCTGTTTTCAAGTTGCTTGTGAAAGAGGAGGATGGTGGCAGAGGGAGGCTTTTCAGGAGCCCAGTGTTGAAGCCAGGGGAGGGATCGTTCTGGTACTGGGCGTCTGGAAGAACAGGTACTAGGAGGCATGCTAAATTTCACCAACTGGTACGCCCAAACCAGTGCATACCGGCTGAAACCTACCCCTGGTGTGGGTGTGCGCTATCACGCATGCGTTTTTGGCATCACTGTTAGCCAAAATCTTTTTAATATCATGGCAACCAAAAGAAGAAGAGGAGGAATATCCTCAACCAAGACAATGGTTCAGAGAAAAGAAATTTGAGCCCAAGAGAACATTCTGAAATGTACTTTCAGAAACCAGCTCAAACAAGACCTTCCCTACTTTTCTTGAACATAAAGGGAGGGAGAGGGGAGACACATTCAGATTTGCAAGATTTTGTTACTATAACCTTATAATAAAGGTTAGCATTCATAATTTTGATTTCCTGGTCTGGTCTACTGCAAAGGGGTGGCAGATCTTGTTATTATAGGTCCATTGGGTAGCTTTCATTTTTGTTTTTCCTGATATCAGTTAAAATAACCACAGCATGACACCAGATTTGGATAGAGAAGCTGTGGTTGAAATTCTTTCTACTTTCAGTGATTTAAGTAAAAAGGGGAAAGAGCTGGGGAGGGTTAAAAAAAGACCATAAAGAGACTGCCAAATCATTGCTCTTCCCAGATCCTCCTCTTATGCTGTTTGTTTGGATTATGGACAGAATGATTAGTGAGAGGACTTAGCAAAGACTCCCCACCCACCCACCCAAAGTCACTACAGATTGCCTTTGTTTAGATTTTGCAATGCAATTCAGTTTGCAATAACACATTTCTAACTTGAGGAGGAGAGATAAGGCTGCATTCTTCAAGATGACATTTCCACGAGTGAGTCAACCATTTCTACTATACTCTAGCACATATGATTAAGGTCCCACTCATGGATACGCAGTGGCTCAGTTGCTGAGATGCTGAACTTGTTAATCAGAAATGTCGGCAATTCGGTGGTTCGAATCCCTAGTGCTGCGTAACGGAGTGAGCTCCCATTACTTGTCCCCGCTTCTGTGAATCTAGCAGTTCGAAAGCATGTAAAAATGCAACTGGAAAAATAGGAACCACCTTTGGTGGGAAACTAACAGCGTTCTGTGCGCCTTCGACATTTAGTCATACTAGCCACATGACTTAGAATGATAAAGCTATAAAGTTGGAAGGGACAACAAAAATATTTTGTTCCAGACTGGACTACTGCAACGTGCTCTACATGGGGCAGCCCTTGAAGAGTATTCGGNCCTATGAAGCAGTATATAAGTCTAACTGCTATTGCGATTGCTATTGATTAGTTTCCACCCAATGAAACTTCCATCCATAGTGCTCCATTTGGGATTCAGTGGATTAAAAGAAGGGGGGAGAAGACATTTTGCAGATAGTCTGGCTCAATTGATGTGCTTTATAAAGATACAGCTGCCAGCAAAATTCCAGATGGCCACTAGATTTCGCTATATCTCTTTCTTGACAGCTCTGGTAGACTTCCTATTATTGTAGCTGTAATAATGGGAATGATGAATATATGTAGAGCATAAGGAAATTGAGTTTGACAGAGACAAAGATATGCAAACACCATTGCCAAGGGGACAAGAGATAAAACACTGTAAAACACTGTTCAGAATATCCAGATAACATTCACAGGCAAGTCAAATACCTCCTTAACTCACGAAACTATAAGAAGGTGCAGGAAAAAAAATACATCAGACCTGTAAAATTCTGTAATGGGTTGTAAGAATAACAGAATAACGGAGTTGGAAGGGACCTTGGAGGTCTTCTGGTCCAGCACCTTGCTCAAGCAGGAAGCGCTATGCCATTTCGGATAAATGGTTGTCCAATCTCTTCTTAAAACCTCCACTATTGGAGCAACCACATCTTCCACAGTTACAACAAGTAATCAATGGAAGTTGTGGGTGCTCCAACTGTCAGGAAATTCCTCCTTAGTTTTAGCTTGGCTCTCTCCTTGATTAGTTTCCATTCCACATCCATTGCTTCTTGTTCTTCAGATGCTTTGGAGAGTAGGTTGACCCCCCTCTTCCTTATGGCAGCCCCTGAGATATTGGAAGACTGCTATCATGTCTCTCCTAGTCCTTCTTTTCATTAAAGTAGACATACCCAGTTCCTGCAACCGTTCTTCATATGTTTTAGCCTCCAGTCCCCTCATCATCTTTGTTGCTCTTCTCTGCACTCTTTCCAGAGTCNTCTGGGTCCTCATTTCACCCACCTCGGAAGGATAGAAGGCTGAGTCAACCCTGAGCCGGTGAGATTTGAACAGCCGAACTGCAGAATTGCAGTCAGCTGAAGTAGCCTGCAGTGCTGCATTTAACCACTGCGCCACCTTGGCTCTCAGAACAATATGTTCTGTGTTTCTAGAGTAGTTAAGACACTAGTGTCCATGAAAGCAGAATTAATAAACTGCACTGCATTTTATTGGGTTTTTTTTTAGCTTTGTTCTCTCCACCATTTTCTCTATTGTCCCATTTGGGCCTCACCTACTAATCAATTTGGGTTTCATTCTGCAGAAGTATTCTATATTCCCCTGAAACTTCTTCCTGGATGCTCAAATAAATGTTACTTACGAATCACGTGGATTTCAATTTGATGAGTAGCCGTTTTTCCGGACTCAAATTCTCCATCACACTTGAAAATCCCACCCTGATCTGGACGAGTGAGGGTCATCTCTAGCCCCTTGGACAATTCATCAATGACCTTCACCCGGTAAGGCTCTGAATCCTCTTCAATTTCATTCCCATCTGGATCGGTCCAAGTCAGAGTGGCTTCTCCACCTCCTCTCACTGTCAAGTCAAAAAAGGCACAGTTAACATAGCATGGGAGGGGAAGGTCATATTACTTCATTTCACTTCAAGAAGGTACTTGGCCTTCCCTCAAAGCTGTGGAAGTTTGTCCCAGTGCTTCCAAAAGAAAATGTTTCTGCACCTGTGCAGTGCACACAAGTAGAGGAGATTTAGAATAACAGAGTTGGAAGGGAGCTTGAAGGTCTTCTAGTCCAACCCCCTGCTTAGGTAGGAAACCCTACACCACTTCAGACAAATAGATCTTAAAAACTTCCAGTGTTGGAGCATTCACAACTTCTGGAGGCAAATTGTTCCACTGATTAATTGTTCTAACTTTCAGGAAATTTCTCCTTAGTTTTAAGTTGCTTCTCTCCTTGATTAGTTTCCACCCATCACTTCTTGTCCTGCCCCCTGGTGCTTTGGAGAATAGCTTGACTCCCTCTTCTTTGTGGCAGCCCCTGAGATATTGCAACACTACTATCATGTCTCCCCTAGTCCTTCTTTTCATTAAACTAGACATACCCAGTTCCTGCAATCATTCTTCATATGTTTTAGCCTCCAGCTTCCAATTTTGCTTAGTGTGTTTGAGATCAGCCAAATTCACTTACATGCTGTCACTAGCTTGGCATACAGATGTTGCAGAAATATCCATATAGTTTACTGGGCAACAAATAGCACTGGGGATTCATTGGAAACCTGTGTCTAATCCACCATAGTTATGTTATATAACAAATGTGGCAAACCCTTTGCACTTTTAGTATTAAGTTGACAACAGGCCACACAGTTTATGGATTTTAGTATAGTTAAACCCTGTATAATTGATAGCTTGGATTTTATCATAGATTTTAGTTATTTATTATTATATACTAGAATTTTTAACTGTATATTTACTGAGTGTTTTTTATTTGTTCTGGTTTCTGGTCTATGACTGTAAATAAACTGAACTGAAATTGCATAGGCAAAAAGTAGATGTAGTTTGCCATTGCCTTTTTGGGGGATTTTTTAAACTTCCCAATCGATTTTACAGCTCTAGGATCCGTATCCAAGAACTAACCAACCTTGCTTGTAAAGATTAGTGTTAAACCTATTGTTGAAATTAAGAAGCCTCTCAAAACAAGGAAGTAACCCTTAATTCATGTGTGGAGACTCAAGGAATCAGAGAAGGATTTTGCTGGCTTAAGCTCTTATAATAATTCTGAGAATTTTGTTTTAATCGCACTTGATCCTTTTTTTAACCTCAAGCTATTTACCGCTTGGTGAGGAAGCAATTAACTGTATTGCTAAGTTCCTATCTAAAAACCAACTGAATGCAATTCTCTTTTGTCTCTTTTACTAAATCACTTTGAACAATGTTGGCCACAATCAGTGTTTGGATAGACATGTAAATGCGTAGACATTTTTGGAGAACTCTAGACACACATAAAAATAGGAACCACTGATTATAGATATAATCTTCACCTGGCCGTCAAGTTCCCCAAAAAATCCCAACAACCCCACCAATATGAAATTCTGCAGAGGACCAAGTCAGGGGAAACTCCCTAAGAATTATGACATCCTGAGCACTTTTCTCCATCTTTCCATTATAGCAATTTTAAACTTCAAACTAAAACTGTTGGTTGTTCAAATCTGTACTAGAGAAATTTTGGTTGGCTGGTGATGTATAATATCAATCCACATCAGCTTCAGCCAATGTGGCCAATGTCAGAAACAAGAGAGCAGAACAGCAACAGGTTTGAAAGCCCCCAAATCTGCATTAATAATTGTCCATCAAATAATATTTTAAACCTATCAGTTGTGGGGAGGGTGGGGGAGGAAAGTGGCAGCCTGGGAAAAGCTGTTGAGACTCTAGAAAGAGTGCAGAGAAGAGCAACAAAGATGATTAGGGGACTGGAGGCTAAACATATGAAGAACGGTTGCAGGAACTGGACATGGCTAGTCTAGTGAAGAGAAGGACCAGGGAAGACATGATAGCAGTGTTTCAATATTTGAGGGGCTGTCACAGAGAGAAGGGTGGGAGTCAAGCTATTTTCCAAAGCACCTGTGTGCCAGACAAGGAATAATGGATGTAAAATGAACAAGGAGAGATTCAACCTGGAAATAAGGAGAAATTTTCTGACAGAGAGTGCAATCAACAGAACAGAACAGAAGTTGCCTTCAGAAGTTGTGGGAGCTTCATCCCTGGAAGCTTTCAAGAAGAGACTGGACTGCCATTTATCATAAATGGTGTAGGGTTTCCTTCTTGGGTGGGGGGTTGGACTAGATGACCTACAAAGCCCCTTCCAACTCTGTTATTCTGTTAAAGCAAAGTGTGATCAATATAACAAAATCACACTGAATATATTCCTAATTGTAAATTGCTTGTCAAAAATGGAATAGGGTCTCCTGCTTCAGCAGGAGGTTGAACTAGATGACCTACAAGGTCCCTTTCAACTCTGTTATTCTATTCTAAGGTCTTGCCTTGGACAGTCTTGGTCTAAGTAGGACAATGTGATTCAGTTTTATTCAAGGATTTTTCATCTCTTTTATCTGACCAACATAAATATGTTACAGGACAAACTGTGCATTTGGGTTGCAATGCATAAAACTGAGATCCATCAATCCATCCTCTGTCCCCACTGGCTAAAATATTGCCCCGATGATACTTTTATACATGTAGGGTGCATTTTTCTGCATTTACCTTTGCAAAGAAAATAGGCCTGTGTATTCAATTCCACGTTCCCATTTATAGGAATAATTTCCAGAGATTCCTTGGCACCCTGTACTGTCCCTTGGGAGAGAGAGAGAAATATCAATGAAAAACTTCAATTTTAAAAATCTTATTTTTCTGATGATGAACAAAACCATCTCAATAAAGTAGACAATATTTTTTCTAATGATATCCAAAGGACTGCAACTGAAGACCACAAGTAACCGTGGAGGATCTCCACTTCATAAAGCAGATAGGGACGTACAGAGAAGTGGACAAGAGCCAGGATTCAACAGAAATTGAACTTAAATGAAAAACCCTTCATGTAATTATCAAATGCAATGTCAAGTAATTTGCACAATCCCTTTAAAAGTATAGCTCATCAGTTATTCCTGAGGACTACATCAAGCTTTCAGAGATCCAGATGTTCTGGAGGCATGATAGCAATAGCACTTAGACTTATATACCGCTTATATTTTACAGCCCTCTCTAAGCAGTTTACAGAGTCAGACTATTGCCCCCATCAATCTAGGTCCTCATTTTACCCACCTCAGAAGGATGGAAGGCTGAGTCAACCTTGAGCCGGTGAGATTTGAACTGCTGAACTGCAGCTAGCAGTCAGTTGAAGTAGCCTGCAGTCCTAACCACTGTGATGTTTTGCAGCTGGTTGTAAGCGGTGATTTGCAATCTGTACTAAGCAAACTTTGCGACCAAGCAATCATTTGGGGTAACAATAACATTTTTTGGATTACACTGGATTTTTTGTTACTGGGTATAGTACCCATACTTTAAATCTATTATTATTAGCCAATTTTTACTATGAGAAAAAGAAATGAAAACATTTATCTATGTATGGTAGCCCCTATGGCTTGGAATGTATCAAGTGTGGCCAGATGTTGATGTCCTTCTAACGTTGCACAATATTTACAGGTATTTGTTTTACTCAAAATATTTTGAAGCCAAACAAAATATATTTTATCAGGTATTGCAAAATGTTCTACATGCCAACACAAAAATACCTATAGGATTATGAGGTTTAATGTGGAAACTTCCCCTACAGAAATTGCATTCCACAAAAATGACTATTTTGGAACCAATGTGTGTGTTTAGGGAAGAGGAGGGAAATCAAAAAAGGGAGACAGACTAACAAATCTGATAAGTAATGGGAAATAGAAGGTGGTTTTTTTTTTCAAAATCCAGTTATTGCATCTTCAAAGGTAACACACCCTGTATTAAGTATGGCTTATCTCTAAACCCTTGGGAACCCTCCTGGTTATAGCAGATTCTGATGCCAACATTTGTGTTCTCCAAAATAACCTTTTTTCTCCAGAAATTAGTTTAGTTGGGTGGAAGGTATCTGACTGTCCCAGGATGTCCTTACTACCATGGATGAATCCGAATAAGAAGATTCAAAGATTCAGAGATATACCAACTTCCTCAATAGCCATCTATAGAAATTCTCAGTCATCCAGATCCTGGTTGTTCCAAAGGTGCTTTTTCAGGAGGCAACTGGATTTTCTTGTGTTTTCTTTGAAGGTATGCTGGTCATTTGCATCCTTTTAGAGGGTCGTTGAAGCAGGTAGAGATTTATCTGTGTCCTCAGGGTCACCTGAGTAGCGTTCCTGGTTCCTGTAGCCTGCAATTTTGGAACAACCATGACCTGGATGACTTGAGAATCTCTACAGATGACCAGCTGTCTGCAAGGAATATAAATCCTTCCATTCCCCACTATCCTTTCAGAGCTGAAGAAGCTTCTTGGATGCGAAGCAAAAAACATATTCAAAGGGGAAAAAAATCAAGAAAAATCCAGTTGCCTCCTGAAAAAGCACCTTTGGGACTCCTCAACAACATTTAAGCAAACTCTTAAGAACAGAGGTTTTGTTTTGTTTTTTTTAAGAGTGAATATAAGGAATCTGGAACCACAGAAAAGTGATATTACTGGATGAAGAAGTTGCAGGTGATAAGCCACAGAGCTACTCTTTTGACAGGACAATCTCCTTATGTCTTCCCATCAGTCTTCTTTGCCCTTGATGGAAACCAGAAGAGTTGTACTACAGCTCCCATCACCTTTCCCAGCAACATGGAGTTTTGTTGCCTGAGGAACATAGGAATTATACTTCAAACACATCTGCCAAGAACCTGGTCTGGGCAGGCTGCCTTAATCATCTGAGAATGAAATAGATTCAGCCCCTTTTCTCCAAGCACTGAGATGCTGGATTCTAGACATCCCCCTACCAAAATGTCTCCCTGCTCCACCTTCAAAATTCTTGGCCTTATGCATCTTACCTGCTGCAAGAAGGAAAATTAGAAAATGTCCTGCTCCCATCTCAGAGGGGGGGGGGTTAGGATTCAGAATTGGATTTCTTCCTTGGCACCAGCAATCTGAAAGGTATTCCTGGACCCTGGGAACTTTATAAAGACACCCTCCTCCCTCTGACCTCCCTCTCTGTCGACCCTCCTCCCTGTCCTGAATCTCTGTGTCTGCAGGGGAGGAAAAGGAAAGAGGAAATTAAGCTGGGAGGGGGGAAAAAGACAGAGGAAAGGAAGGTCTATACATCTGTGTGTCTATAGGTGGGTGTGTCTCTCCGTGGGTGTATTTGTGTCATGGGTGTGTGCCTGTTGTATACTCCTTAGTCGCGCATTTATTTACTTCTCGTATGCATTTCCACAGGTTTTTTTGATCATCTTTTGGGGTGACTGAATTCTAGAGCTCAACAGGCCAGCTTTTCTCTTCGATTTATAATGGTAAAAAGCTAGCACCCACTCCCAGATAACGCCGCAAAGCTACAGCTCAGGCATCTCCATAGTACCTGTGATGCAGGAGGGGGTGCACAGGTAAACCCACCANAGCTTCCTGCAAGGAAAGTCAATGGGGAAGCCTGCAGGAAATAGGAAGTTGCTTCCACTCCCATTGCTGTTTTGCCTATCTGTGGTTCATTCTGTTTCTCTCTTTAGATAAGAAATATCTCTGAAATTATGGCCCAATGGGTCACAGGTTATCTAGTATTTTCTATAACCAAATGCCCAAATTATTCTCTTCTTGGTTTGATGTTCTCTTAGCAAAATGTTTCAACTTTAGCTTATTTTGAGAGGTTATTTGGTATCAACCCCTAACCTGCTGCATATCAAGTGGATATAGGTACATTTCCAGGTATTTCACTAATCCCCAATTCAATCCATATTGATATTTAATTGGAAATAACAACTATTTTATTTGCTCTGTTATTATGATATGGATTATTTCAATGCCATTCAAAAACTCTGATTGGAAAAAGGCTACATCAATAAAAAGCGCCATATGTACAAACAATGTGACCACAACTTTGGCTAAACCAATAAATACATAGTGGGGTAACAAAGTATCATAAACCCCCTATATATTAAAGGTAAACTTTAAAAAAAACCATAGTTGAAAAGCAAAATTGTTCTGGATGTGATGTATTGATATAATGTTGTATCGATGTAATGATGTATTTTGGCCCTATCTATAGAAGAAAGGATAATTCCTAATTGTGGGCACAGGATTTTAGACCATCATGGATGTTTCCTGCCACTAATTGTAGAGGAACAGTTCCATTAAAGGTGATAATAAGGGTAGAAAAATAGTGGGAGGTATAATAAAGAGGAGAAACTCCCTTTTCTATGCCCAGTGTATCCAAACATTGTTGCAGAAAGTCAACATTTCATCAGCTGATCTCATTGCTATGGTCCAATCAAGCTTCTGAACCAGAGATGTTCACTACAGGACTTTTTCCTGATTTTGAGAGAATTTTCCTGTGGAAAGAAACAAAAAAAATAAAATGAAGATTTGCTTGATCTCCCTTCTTCAGTTTCTATCTATAGAGGTTATACAGTTGCAGTTCAGAATTTGATTTGTCTCTTCTTTCACCCTTTTCCCTTTTAAACTAGTTAATGAGTTTGGTCCTAAAATGAAATCAATGAAGAGGTCTTAGTTGAAACCTCAGACATTCAACTAACATAATTGGCAAGTGATCCATAATCGGAACTTTGTTTTCCTTTTTTTTTATTAATTCAGGATTTGACCATTATTCAGTCACTTAACCCCTTGCCTCACCCTTATTTTCTGAAGCTAACACAGATCCCCTCACCCCCAAAAAATCATTTCTCTACAGTCAATAAGGAAACGAACGTTAGGAGTTTCTGAGCAAGGCATTTTTAAAAAAAGAAGAAAAAGCATTTGATCCTGTGAACTCTTCCATAATTAAATGGAACATGGGACATTTAATTATGTGCACAGATATCCCAACTTTGCTTGCTGTGGAATTCCTAAAATCCGTGGCAATCAACAAAATTGTTCAAGGCATGTATGATATTAAATAAAAATGACTTGTATCACCTGAGCTAACAAAAAGAGATTGGCCACCCCAAAGGAACAATCAAATTCAAGCAGAGTGACAGAAAACCATGTTTTTTAACTCAGGTCCAACCCCTAGTTAAGCCAAATGTATGTTGTGTGTTTTTTAAACTGTGTATGTTTCTTTCCCCTATGTGTTATTTTTATTTTATTTTGTATTTGTAAACCGCCCGTAGTCCTCCGGGATTGGGCGGCATATAAGCTCATTAAATTGCGAATTGCAAATTGTATGTATGGTAGGCAGTGGAGATGAGAAGCAACGAAACTCAGGTGATGAACAAGGACCATCACCACCCCCTCCTGATCTCTGAGCATGGAGAGTGAAGAAGAGGCAGGAGCAACGCAGGCCGATCCAATGACTCAGGAGGACATCGCCCCACCCCTCTTCACAAGGCACACCTGGGGACTGAGACTTAAGGAGCCGCTGTGAGGAGGGGCGCTTGTTGGGAACAAATGCTGAATTTGTGGAGTTTTGTGTGGCTTGCTGACATTTGGAGTGCATTGGACTTCTTATAGCAATAGCAGTTAGACTTATATACCGCTTCATAGGGCTTTCAGCCCTCTCTAAGCGGTTTACAGAGTCAGCATATCACCCCCACAATCTG